TAAACCAAGAACTTGAGAATCGTATAGAGCAGGGCGTATAGTAAGTGTGTTAAGTGATCTCCTTCTTCATACCAGCCACTGTGATGACACTCTTCAAAACTTCTCCGCGTAACTCCCCATTTCCAGTAGTGGAATCGTACATCTCAAAAATCAATCCCCATCAACTGGAGGATGTACCTGGGCAACACTAGCTGTTCTCACAAAGCTTCGTATTTCAGTAACATGTTGGTCCATCCAGCAACTTAGAAGCATGGAATCCACTGTACAGACTTGTGCTACTCAAAAGGTATCCTACAGCCAAGTCTTGTTCTTATCTAAAAATCAATATATTAATGAAAATAAAAGATGGCAAAAAGGAAGAGGAATACCTCTATGGAATATTTTAAAACCTCACTGCAAACAAGAGAGTTCTGTAACTAAGGAAGTGAATATATTGACAGGCTACTTAGAGAGATAATTAAAGAAATATATATTGATTGAATATAATCAGCATGGGTCTGAAATAGAGCTGCTAAAACTTTTGAAGGCAGAGCCTGATGTTTGAGGGGAAGTAAGACACAAATATATCGCAATTGAACCTACTTAGAAAAGCTACAGAATATTTAAGGTTCCTAGAGTAATTATTGGTTCCTATAAGGCAAGAAATGAGAAATTTTTTTTTTTGTGAATATCATGTATTACAATATGGCATGCATTATATTAGGGAAAACAGCTGCAAAAGTCATTCTGTGATCAGACTTGGGGCCCAATACTTGGATGACTGTATTAACTGTTGTGACCTGCTAGTCAGACTAGCTGATTTCACAAGTCCCTTCTGGCCTTAAAAGCTTAAAAAATTGTCTGAAATGAAACTTCCATCTAGATATGTGATTTTGTTCTAAAACTTCAATCATGATATAAAGATATGGAAAAAACAATGTGGCAGAGCCAAGAAAAGAAATTAAATCTTTCAACTTCTACAGTCATTTCTATCTGCAGTTTTACTGACGTATAGATATACAAGATGTGCATGACATACATAACCCTGTTTCCAAAGAGTACTAACATCTAACACACAAATTCACTTAAGTCATGTATATTATCCTTACTTCATACTGACATGTATTACAATGCTCAGTCATGATTACCATATATGTGGGTTTTAGTCTAGTTTTAACCACAGTTTCTTGACAAATGAGTAGCTTTCTAATGGGAAAATTGGTAAATATTTAAAAGTAACAGAAGTTACTTTAGAAAAAAAATTAAGTCTTATAAAGCTGGGATGTTTTCAACCTAAAGATGACACTCTCATTCTTGTTTTAACCAAAAAAAACCCCCAACCGTCAGCACCCATCTCAAAGCCAAAGGCTTCTGTTTTCTCTAGAATCAGCTCTATGATTTAAGGAATGTATTAATCAATCATCTATTTAAACAGTGTGAGAAATTTTCAAAAAATCTTACAGCCTAAGGTTTTTCTGGAGAGAGGGAGAAAGGAAGACAGACATCTAGAAAAAGTATCTTTATTTGAAACAGGTAGATTCAAAAAAAGATTCCAAAGAAATGCTAAACACTGCACAACCTGTTCTTTGCCTAAGTTTTCTGAAAGGGAAAGCTGTTCTCTGAAACATGCTACTACTAAGATGGTAAAGGAAACTAGAGTCACAAAGAAACTATTGTGAGTTGAATATATTTGTCAGTGCTTCAAGATGGATCTTGCTCTTAGGAAATTATTTTATCTCATGTTCTCCAAGTATTTTTACAAAAACGTCTGCCAAAACAAACCTCTGCTAGGTCATTGTCACTACATTCTTCCTCAGCTTCCAAGGGAGCAGTTTCTGTGTGCCAAGAACTGAAGTCCTGTGAACAACATACGGCTGGAGACTTCCAGGAAAAGCATCAGCTTTACTACATATTTACCAAAAAGGTTCTCCAGCAGCTTTTTCTACCTTCAAAACAGCATTATCAATAGCTCTCTTCCCAAGAATTTTTTAACAGCTAGTGGGATCAGAAGTCTCTTGCACAGCTGGATATTCCCAGTCAGAAACCTACCATGCTTTTTGCAGAATAAATAGTTGTATCTATCACACATGTTCTCACAAATCAGAGCGCCCCGGTATCTCACTTTGTTGAAGAATTTTTCCCATATTTACAGACACAAAAGCAGATGACAAAGCAGAAACAGAAGTGGCCTTATGTTTTCTAAAACCTATGAAGCATTGGGCCAAACGTGTTTGCCAGTATGTCTTAAGAAAGAAAAAATCCTTCTTCACACACAGATATTTAACTATATTTTATACAGCATGGAAAACTGAAACTATTTGTCTAGTGGTTTAACACTACTTGATGATTTCTCTTTAAAGAACTTCATTCTGTCTAAAAACAAACAAGCAAACAAACAGAAACCCCAACAGCTTTCACTTTCACAGAAGTTATTAACTCTCCCTCTTCATGAGGACCGCTTGAAAACACCTAAGCCGAAGTTCACTGCTTGGCATCTCACAATTTCTTAGACATACAGTGTATGATTCTGACCTCCCCTCCAGCAGTGCCTGCTGACCCTAAGAAAGTTAGCAGCAAGAGGAAAAAAATAGATTCATGTTCTTTATCCATCACTTCTCCTCTACTGCATTTCAGAAGTCTGAAACCTGAAAGTGATTCAACAAGCTTGTCCAGCAGTAAAATACAAATGAAATGGCTTATATATTAAAACAGTGAGTTCAGGATTTGCATTTCCTAAAATCAACTTAACTCCTAAACAACAAAATACGGGCTTCGATTTCTATTTTAACAGAAACCCTCATCTTGAAAAGCAAACGGCTAGATCTTCTGATCCAGTCATGACCAGCATGAATGCCACTTCACATCTGACATATCAAGCATGATTGTTTAGACCAAACAAATCTTTTCCTCAAAATAGGACAGCACGGGGATATGTGTTCTTCAAACAGCGAAGCTTCAGATTTTCTGAATAAATCATTTATGTTTCATATAGGAAATCTAAATAGAGCAAACAAATATAACATCTATGATGACTTCTCTGTGCCTTCTTTCACGTATCCCGCTCCCTTCAAAGACTGCAAACACCTATTACGGTCATCAATACCATAAATTCCACAGTTTACTCTGATGCAGTCACTCAAAGACACTGTTCTAGTTATTTCATGAGAAGTAACACATGAAGTTGCCCCAAGTGTTCCAAGAGAAATAAAAAAAGGGAACTTTTAAAGTTAAGCATCAGCACAGATTAAGATAATTTAACATATCCAATTCATTAAAACATACCTTAATCATGAACTCAATCATCTTTTCCTTTACAAGCATTACTTTTGAGTAATTGTGTTCCTATTTCTAAAACTCTAGGTATATTTTCAGCTACAGTCAAAGGATACATAAAGCAAAATCACATACCAGGCAGTAAAGTAATTCATTCCTTCTTCTAAAAAGCAGACAGCTAGCTACCCATCTGAACAGCCAGGTAGAAACTCACTTCATTTACACCCTAAATGCAGAATCAATGTAATGCATGTCACCTGCCTGAAGCACAGGATGGTGGCCTTACCCAGAATTCTTCCAACAGAACATTAAATAATGGAAGTCTGTCAAAACACACAATATTGGGGGGAACAGAAAAAGCCCAAAAGCAGCTTTGTGGTTTGTTGGTTTGTTCCTTTTTTTCTTTCAAATCTTTACTACAAAATAACAAAAGAATGTTGAAGTTACATGGGTTTCCCAGTGGCGAGTACGGCTGAACATAAGTGTGTGTCATTAAGCCAAATTTACTGAAGTCACCATATACTCTGAGGAATGCATTCAGATCCACAAAAACAACCCACCAGTCTCAGTTTTGAGCTTAGTACAGTCTTCCAGCTTCAAGCCAGGTCTGACTAGAGATCACCTGTCAAGGAAGAAGTTTCCTTAACAGAACACCTCTGAAATTTTGGTGCCCTGTACCACAATAATTCAAGAGATTATCTTGTTAGTCAGCAGTACCTTAGGTTAGCTGGCTAGGCTGTTCTTGGTGATAGGGGAATGCAGAACTCCTTTACTACAGGCTTTTTTTTTTTTTGCTGCAGTTCACAGGAATCAGTAATAACTTTGCTAATATTTTACCACTTTAAATCCTTCTCATCTAGTGGATTCAGCACCGATTCCCTCTGAATTCATGCATTAATTTTACTAAAGAAGCAGTGAATGTCTTAAGACAGGGAAAGATCACCACTTTGTAACTGGAGAACCAATTTAGACACCTTCAGCAAGGAGAAAGCTGACAAAAGCAGCTATCTTTTAATGTCTCTCTTTGGGACACTTGCTGCTGCTCTTGAGCCAAATGAGGTAGTGACAGAGACCAGGTGTTTTCATGAACTGAAATACTAACCATCTCCTAATGTACAAAGAGGCACTAAGCAAAATCTCAGACACTCAGCCCACAAAAATAAACATTAAAATGTCCAAATCTGTCTTACTTGAATTGAGCAGAGAATCACACTAAAGACCTTTCTTTCAAAAATTTCTAACACTCTTGGTTTTAATCATCCAAGGCTGAAAGCCTTCTGTCCCTACCCAATTTTGCCCTAAAATAATCTCACATCAAGTTTTACACAAAAACCCTCAAAACATGTGTATGTTAAATTTTAAAATCCTAGGATTCTTATAAATCCTTTTAACTAAAAAGCCTAGGATAACACATCTTCTCCACAACTACTCATTAATCTATAGTTCTTATATGCCATGACTATATGCTGTAACTCCACATGCAGACTACCAACAAGAAGAGAGCTCTGAAAACCACCATTCACAGTAAAGAGTGAAAGTGGAGAATAAAATGAACAATTTGATTAAATTATATTAAATTTATTGTAGGACAGCACATGGAAGTATACTAAGACATGAAGAAACATTTAACATTCTTTGCAATATGCGTTTGTGGACAAAATTATTCAGATACCCCCTATGAAAACTTTTTAAAAGAACCACTGAACCTTATTATTGTTTACTAGCCTACGGATGCAGCACTTCCATACCTGTTCTTTAACTGAAGCTAGAATGGCAGAGGTCGTCTCAGTTTCAGAGCCATCGCCATTGGATGTGTTCAACACAGGACTAAGGGAACTTGTCTTGTCAGAAGACGAGGGCTGGTCTGGAACAGGCATAGTTTCTGCAGTTTATGGAAAAACAAAACAATTATTTTGCTGTTAGAAAGCTGATACGTATCAGAAATCATGCATAATAACAACAATATTACTAATTTAAGGAAAAAATGGGAGAATGTGCTTTTTTCTGTCATATAAATATATCACTTATTTAAGACTAGAACTAGTTCTAAATTAATTATAAAACAAAATATTAAATGATCTCCCAGTCTTACTCCAAAAGAGTCACCACATTACATTTGGAGGGGATTCAAATCATTTACAGCTGTGATTTTTGTATAGTATTCCAGTGGCAGCATCCAACATCAAATTACAATATCATGAAAGTAATGAATCATGAAATGCTTTGCAAGCAGAAAACCAACAAATTATATGAGAGAAATATAAAACATCTAGCGTTGACCTTCTAACGTACATGATTATTTTTGTATTATATTTTAAGCCTAAGTAACTAACTTTGCCCTTCTTCTAGGGCAAAGTTAGTTACTAGGTGATTTTGACATTTTATCACAGTATCTTTGAGAAACACAGCACACTAGTTGTTATGCCATTTTTGAGACCTGCTATAAAAACCAAAGATTCTTAGCACTTGAAGGAATTCCTAATATTCTTCTTTTAGAGAGGAAAATGGTGGTGGTGACTGTGGAAAGATTTATCTTTCTGAAGGCTAAGCTATAGTGTAGCATCTCTGTTTAAATGTCACAACAGGCACATCTCTGCAGGCAAGTTGTGCCATATTCCAGAAGTAAAGGGGCAGAGAGGCAGCTTGCCTGGTTATGCACAGGCGAGTTAGGATAAGATCACATTCATGTGGGAGCTGGCCAGAATTATTCTGTGAAAGAGAACTGGCCCACAGGCTGCCAGCTGGATGGCCCTCCTAAAGAGCAGTGGCGATATTCAGAGGGATGTCATCAAAGGGGTCACACGTCTGCAGCACTCGCCATTCACACCAATGGCAAAACTCCTGCCTTGGCTCCACTCTGCTTTTCAAAGCCCATGTTTTTATAAAATAGAACATTTTCTGGAAGAAATACAAAGTCTGAAAAGAGCGGGAAAGGGTAGCTGGTAAAAACAAACATAAAATTCAATACACAGAGCAAGCATCCCCGCACCAGTTTGCCATGGAAATTGGGGCGCTAAAAGAAGGGGAGATGACAGTCTATAAAGCTTTGGCTCTGAAGCCACTGTGCTGGCAAGAACACTCATTCAGCCCCGCTGGGCAGCCTTTTCCAAAAGCTTCCTGAAGCTCAGGACACTGGCATACATATGCAAGACAAAAACATAAAAGTATGAATTATTCATTCAAAAAAGTCAGTTATTTCTCATCAGCGAAGCCTCCCTAAATCTTAGGCTAGTTTAGGTTATATATTGAAGCGTGAGATTATGTATTATTTTAATTAAAGAAGCTACATGTTTTCATACGGCTTGCTTTTTGTAAGCAAATCACCGAAAGAGGTAAATAGCATATCTTTGGTTCTGGTAACATCCTTGCTCCAGATACGTACACTATTTGAAGTTAATCTTTAAAAACTCAGATGATATACCTGTGTCCTTCTATCACAAGTACAAGTATACTGTACAGAAGTTCTATATGATCCAAATACATCAACCTAAAAAGACTTCCGAATTACATTTTCTCATTTTGTGAAACAAAGGAACCGGCTTCTGTTGTAACAAGTTACCTAGTTCATGGCATGCAATTAAAAGTTGCTACTCTTGTAAGTACCACAAAAAATACACATACACACATATATATACACACACATGCTTATTCTATTACCTTACTTTCAACCAATCTAGTTCTTTTCTTTTTTTACTAAATTAAATGCATTATCATAATAGAAAGCAAAGTCATTTTCTTCTTGGTATTGCAATTTACCTGAAAAAATACAAATGGCCTAATAGTTCATTTTGTAGAGCCACATTTGCAGAAAACACTGGAGTGCAACGCTCCTTGCTATCAACCCCCTACCCTTTCAAGTCCAGCCGAAAATTGTGCACATGAACAAAAGAGACCACAGGATTTAGGAACATGAGTAAGGACACATGAAGCAGTCCTACCGCCCTCGCAGACACTCACTCCAGGCAGCGGGGAGCCATGCTCCCCTGTCGGGGCGGCTCACTAAGGAGACACGTGGAACTATGACAGCATGAGGCGCAAAGAACTGCCTCCCTGAGGCTGCACTGGGTTGGGAAGAAACACCGCAGCTGTGAATGAGGGACCTGCTAAATAGTTCCAGAGACCTTGGCTGAGAGAGCTCCCCCGCTGCAGGACTGCTTTCTCTGCAGTTGTGAAGAAGCTTCCTGGAAAAAGCCCCTTTGCCTGCTTAGCTCGTCCTCATGCTCCTCCAGGGCTGCCCAACCCCGGTGGGGAGAATCCGCCGCATCGGCCTTTCCATAAACACTAGCCCAAGGAGGTAAAACCCAGCAAACGAAACAAGACTAGGAGTCAAGAACTCCTCGGTCCCGCTCCCATCTCTGCATGCAGCTGTCATTTGAGGTCCATTTAAATTTTCTTCTTCACCTGAAAAATTAAGAAGGCCTTACCTGTTCCCCCTACCCCCAGCTCCCTGCCACAGTACACACTTACTGGAGCCTGACTGGGAAGACACAGCCACCACCTGGAAGGCCTCTGGCTGCAGCCAAGGAGACACTTCTTTCCATATTGTGCCTCTCTGTATGGGGTAAAAATGTCACAGTTTTAGGTAGCATGCGTGTTTGGGGGTGGGGAGTGCTGCAGTGCTGACCTGTGTGGGAGGACCTCACCCATCCCCTCACCAAAGGGACCAAGTCCAATGCGTAGTGAAGGGGATGTGACACCAGGACGGGGAGAGGGATCTTTGCTGGGTGTTCATTTAATTGGTTGTCTTCTTTATCTCTCAATACCAGAATCAGTAATGTAAAGCTTACGTTAATTTGCAATATATCGAATTAAGTGCAATTTCCTGATTCAAAGACTGGTTTTGGCCTGTGACGCTCCTCAAGAGCAAATCCAAATGAGGCCCATCAAGGCATGGTGGGTTTCTGTTGCTGTTAGGTTTTCAGGAAGATGGGGGGAAAATGAGCCTTGTCTGAGTTGCTGGGAAAAAAAAAAATAATTATCTGCTACACAAAATGCTTGCCATAGCACAAACATGCACTCCAAAATATTTAAAGTGTATTTCAGAGAGACAGCAAGGCTTGCACGGTCAATGGGGAAACTGCTCAGTGACCAAAGAAACGCTACTGATAAGACACCACCAGTTTTTCTGAGCTCAAAACAATTATACCCGTGCGATACAGGCAGCAACAGCCTACTGCTATTCGAAACGTGGTTTGGGACTGTATTTAGCTTCTGTACATGTTAATTTTTAGGCTGTACATTTTTGTAAATGCTTTGTCTCCATCAAAGAACACTTCAGAAACTGCTTTAGTCATCTACAATTTCGCAAGTACCAGCTTATGTGGGGGGAAAAAAAACTGGATTACACAACCAACTGTTGCAATAAACTGTACTTGCTTCAAATAGGCTAAAAAGCTGGACAGAACAGTAGCTAATATTCTACAAGCACTGCATGTTTCCAGGATTTTGGTGTTTTTTTAAAATATAGATCTTAAAAGAGAAAGGAAAAAAAAAAAAGGATAAAAAACATACTTTGCATGTCCTTTTCATCTAGAAACAGAGAAATCACAACAAGTGTCCCTGACATTAAAAGTAATGTTTTGTGCAGCTATTAAAATATTTCTTCTGGACAGAGAATATAATTTCTAACACCTACCTCATTAGTTCAGTTTATTACTACAGTTGTTCAAGGGGCAAAGATTGCAGCCAATTGCACTTAGTAAGCCAGTACCATTGAATCTACAGCATGACATTATCCAGCTGAGCTGTTAACATTATGTATTTTAGTATTTTTTTCATTACCTGAATTCATATGAGAAATACCACATAGAAAGGAAACAGAGTGAGTTTTCACAAGCAACAGAGAAGCCGCTGTACCAAAGGTAGTTACACTAAAAATAAAAAACACACGTGAATCGGCAATAGTGTTTCAACAGCAAACACCAACATAGCCAAGACCTGTATTTGCAATACTGCATCTGGTCAGAGTAGGTATACCTTTATAATTTAGCTCAGTCTTCAGGATAAGAAATTGAACATTCCCAAGTTTTAATGGGACTTAAAACTGCCGGTATGGTAGAATTAGAGAAAATAAGGCTGAGGTGGACCTCCAAGCTCCTAGACCACTACCAAATCTCCAGACAAGGCAGACTTTTTCTGTAAGTCATTCTGCATATTTAATACGCTTAGCCAGTCCTTCACAGCTTCCCTCGCTGCAGCCTCCCATGGCCGCCGCCTCCGCTACGGGGCTCCACCAGCTTTACAAGCAGAAAACTTGCTTTAGTGTCTAACGTAATATATATTTAAGCTCAGTATTTCCTGTGCTATCCAGCATGGACACAAAAAACAGAATTATCGCATCAGTCCTCTTCAAAAAGCATTATCCCACACGGCGATAACCACTGTGACTTTCCTTCTGCTCTGGCTTCTCTTCTCCGGAAAAACTACCCCAATTCTTTTCATTTTTCCTCATAAAATAAGCTGGCTGATAGCCTTTTAACCAACACTCATGGGAGCTTAGCACTAAAAACAAAAGGAAATTAGAGCACGTATAAGAAAAACAAAAATTAAGCAGCTTAACAGAGTACACTATTACTGACTAACTACAACACAAAGTAAATCTGCTGCATTTAATTTCCATAACAGCAACAATATTTCCTATCAGTGTCACAAAAATACAAATGAGATTCTGTAAGTCAGAGCGTATACACACTCCTGAGAGAATCAAATTAAAATCTTAGTCGATCATAGCTAGATGAACAGGAAAAATACTACCAGCCTTTTGGGAACAGGCTGGGAAGTCAGACATAAATAATTCATGACTTCCCAGACAACACAGTGCTGGCAAAATTCTATCTGGAGTTCGACCCTTTTTTTGGTGGTGGTGGTGTCTTTCTAA